TAGGCATGAAACAGCTTTGGCCACCAAGCCAGGCATCAAGCTAGGATGAACAGAGGACTACCATCTGCTCTGCCCCTGACGGATATAAGAACAACACCACCAACAAGGTGTCTCTTTGCCCATTGTCAGGGGGTTACCTAGCTCCTTAATACTGGGAACTCACAGGTTTTAAAGATTCTACAAAAACACTACACGCTATCTTCATGTTTTTAATGTTCTTAAGAATTGTGCCTGCTACAGTGCTGGGGGGAGGGGGGAGGAGGGAGGAGGAAGGGATGAGGTGGGCTGCATTCGCCTTTGCTAGATGCAAACTCACTACCATAATCCTGGCTGGTCTTGAATTCAAAGAGTTCATCCAGCCTCTGCTGGGTCCCGCAGATCAAACTTAAGGTAGGTTAGGGACAGTAGCTGGCGCCTTCACCCGCTGAGTCCTAATGTAATCTGCTTTGGAATATAAACCCCCAAAAAGCCAGGAAAAAAAATAGAACTGCTACATTTTTACGAATGTGATCTTAGGCTTTTTCTTTTTAAATGAGCTTTGATGTTTTGCCCCCATGTGTCTGCGTGAGGGTGTAGGTTCCCCTGGAACTGGAGCTACAGGCAGGTGTGTTCTGCCATGTAGGTGCTGGGGAACTGAACCCCATCCTCTGAAGAGCAGCTAATGCTCTTAAACGCTGAGCCATCTCTCTAGCCCTAGCTCTAGTTTTGTTTTTAAATATATCATCTGGCATCAATATAAGCACCAACAAAGTTGTCATAGGGGCTGTTGATATTCATTACAAGCGAAGACTTGAACCACTCGGAATTCCTAAATTTTTGGAGTTAAATCCATTACAAACTTATGAAAGGCCCTTGGAAATATAATGAATCTCCAATATACTCCAATAACTACCATTTAGAATAGCCGGGCGTAGTGGCGCACGCCTTTAATCCCAGCACCCATGGAGGCAGAGGCAGGTTGGGAGTTCGAGGGAGTCCACGACAGCCAAGGCCACCCAGAGAAACTCGAAAAACAAAAACTCGTTGAGACGGAAGATATTAAAGCTGGGAAGAAGAGCTGCCCTTCACAGCAGGCAGTGTTACTTTTCTTTTGACCCTAGGCAACACTAACGGTACAATGTGTTAGAAAATTTATTGTGTGTGTGTGTGGGGGGTCATTGACCAAGAGGCCAGGCAGGAGGATAGCCAGGCAGGAGGATAGCGCATCCTCATCTCTGCCTCCAGACCCAGAAACGCAATCTCGATTAAAAGAACAGAAGACACCAGGCCCGATCCATCTCCCTAGTTTTTACTGCAAGGGCGCGTTGCCAGGCTCTTGGGCATCCCGCCTCTAGATGATCCCAGAAGAGGCCGTCCCTCGAAAGGCCCGCGGTCCTCACCTGGGCCCAGGAAAAAGGTCGGTGCCTGTGCCGGGCTCCGGGTGCTGCAGCTGTTTCCTGGAGCCGAAGGCTGAGCAAGGGCCGCGCCGCCGGGTGGCTGGCGTCACCACCAAGGCCGGCGCAATTGCGCACGCAGCGGCCCCGGCCTCCCCACCCCCACCTCCCCCCCCCCCCGCGCCCGCCCGCCCGCCCGCCCGCCCGCCCAATCCGCCCTGAAATTTCTGCGTCACAAAACTTTCCACTCGGGAATCGCGGCCTCCCTAGCCTCGGCGCACCGGGGCCTGCGGTGGCGAAGGAACCCGGGGTTCACATGCACCGGAGCTCGCTGGCGCGCAGGCCGTCGGGGGGAGGGTGGGATGCGGGGGGGAGGAGGAGGAGGTGATGGGGGGTGATGGCGGGGGGAAAGGGAGAGAAACACGCCGCACCGCTGGTCTGCGCCACACAAAGGAGGCCGCCGCCATTAGCCCGCGCAGGGGCCGGGGACCCCCGAGCAGCGCCCCCCTCCCGCATCCCGGAGCCACGCAGCCGCTCGGCGAGCCCGACGGCGGCCACGGCCTCCGGGCTTGGAGACCATTTGCACGGGAGCCCTGGGGCCCCGAAAGCCCCCCCCAGAAACCCGGGGGCCGAAACCATCCCCCCCAACATACAAGATACACACACACACACACACACACACCCGCCAGGCGCGCAATCCCCTCCCCCCCCCCACCCTGCGGGTCACTAATCAACTAGGGTGCGCGCGCGTGCGCCCGTAAGAGCGCGCCCCCTCCCCCTCCGCTCGCCTGCGTGCTCTCTCTCTCCCTCTCTCTCCCCCTCTACCTCTGTTTCTGTCCCTTTCTCGCGCTCTCTGTCTCACACTCACACACACACACACACACAAGCCGCCATTGTACTCGTGCCGGGGGACAATACCGCGGACTGAACCGAGCTGCGGGAATAACCTGCATTAGCGACAATCCCCACCCCCCCCGCCACCACCACCACTCCGTAAAGCATCCAGTTCCTCCAGAGCCCCTGGATCCTGACACCCGCCGACGCTCAATAGACCTCGGGGAAAACGGGAAGGAAAAAAAAAAAAAAAACAGAACTTAAGAGCTGCGCCACAAGGCGGGCCAGGTTGGGGGTGGGGGGGGAGAAGAGTTGCAACCAGCGACCGCTGCGGCTCACCTGCTGGTCCAGCCCGAGCGCATTTTCCACTGCCACATGACTCATCCCTGAAGAGTACCGAGAACTCGGGAGTCTTCCGCTGCTGAGCAAGTGCCGGGTTCACCGCAAAGCCTCTCTCACGGGAGAACTGCGGCTTTGAAGCGCACCGCGCGGCCGCGCCTCTTATATACCGACTGGGAGGGCCGCTACGTCAGCACGTAAGACGCATGGCCCTCCTCTTTTTCTAGGCGATTGTCCACTGCCGTTAGGATCTCTGCCCCCGGCTACGGTGCGCTCCTCCTATTCTTCTCGTGACATTTCCCGACTCAGTCCCATCACCGTCCCCCCCTTTGTTGCCCCTCCCTAGAGGCCCCCCCCCCCGCATTAAATGCTGTCCTGGTTCTCTCGGTTTGGGTTTTTCCTGTTCTCCGCTGAGACCCTAATCTTAGTGTTTCCTCCAGATCTCGCGAGAAATCGTGTCTGCCTGTCCTTTCTGGCAATGAAGCCCCGATATTTAAACTAGGCGCATTTGCTGTTTCCTAAGGTCCCAGTTTTCATTTTTCTTTATTTGCACTCTTTCTTTCCCCTCCGTACTCCCTCCCCCCCCCCCCCCCGGGACTCGGAGATGATGTAGAGGTCTTTGTCTGGCCAGTGCATAACAATCAAATGAGGGCCGGGGAAGGAGGAGGGTGATGGGTCACGTGACCGTGGGTGTCCAGCGCGGTGGCCATTTTGTGAAGAAGGGAAATTGGCTTGAGCAGTGCTGGGAATGGGAGGGAGGGACGAGAACACTACGGGGTTGAGGGGGGGGGGAGAAGAGAGGAGCGAGGAAGGGTGGAAGGAGCCAGAGTCAGAAAGGGGAAAGACGAAAGGCTGGGCGGTTGACCCAGGTCGTCCTGAACAGGTAGTGGAAGGGACGTGCCGGTCGCTGGAGACCTCCGCGCGCTGTTGCCTAGGTAGCGGGTACGCCACCCACACCTCCTGCTATGGAGGAACAATGAGGCTAGCTCATGCGAATCTAGATCCGGCAATGTGGGATCCTCCCGGGACTCCGAGCCTCCGCCGCTGTGTGTGAAACAGCCCGGGCTCCTGTATCCTTCCGCGCGGCACTCGTTGCACCGGGCCGGTGACTGGGCGAGCACAGCGAGGGACCCCGAAGGTTTCTTCTAAGAACTCTTCCGAGGCTACCCAGGAGGCTACGGCGTGGGGACTGGGACACAAAACTGTGCCTGCTGGAGAAGCTAGGGTGGCTTTACCCGATGGAGGTAACGCGCCTCGGACCACTACGGTGGGCAGGAAGTATCAAGAAGAACGCGTCTGTCGTCAGACGGGGCGCTTTTTGGTGGTCCTACTGGGCCGACCCCCCCCCCCAAGTTCCTGCTTCAAAAAACGAATACCCTTAAGCAACAGAGCCGAAAGAATAATACAATGAGCCCTCTGCTTTCAGGCAATGGCAACACATACAGGTTACCTAAAAGCTAATCCCTTCGGACCCTCCGCTTAACAAATAAAACGAAAGACTACACACACACATACACATCCCGCCACAAACACACACACACACACACACACACACACCCCACCAGGAGCCTTCTGCTGCCAGAATTCAAATTAACGAGTTCTCGTCAAATAATTTACAACGCAGCTCTTTTTACTTTTCCGGCTTTTTAAGTTGAAAGGGAACTTCTAAACAGATAAGGAAATAATAAAAACGATCCCCAGGCAAGTTCCTTCTCGGCTTTTGTTCTCAATTTTTCTCAGCTGTAAGAGTCCACTAGACAACTTACAACAAATATTTTGTTTTGTTTCTTGGTAACCAGTGAATTTATTGGGTTTGTTTGGAGGAGCCGTAACTATGTTTTAAGACCCTTTTAAAACATAATAAAGTAACAAGTCAAGGATAATACAGCAAAGTTGATTACTGTTTCGAAAGGCAGGAAACTATACTAAGTATTTTTGACACCCCCTGTAACCGTACTGAAATAACAAACCATAGCTAATACAACTGAATTTTTTTTTCCGTTTCAAAAAGCATGACCTAACTGTAATACTCAAACCGAATGAATGCAATAAATAACATCATTAAAGCAGTAGTCATTAAAGTGGTGGTGCTCGCTATTTATCCTAGCACTGAGAGACAGGCTAATCTCTAAGTTCGAGGCCAGTGTGGTTTACAGAGGGAGTCCAGACAGCCAGGGCTACGAAAGGAAGAAAACACGCTTAACACCAACATTTTGAGACATTCTTTTCTTAGGGGAGGGGAGGACGGATGGAGGTGAGGAGGGGAGTGGAGGATGAGTGGGGTGGAGGAGGGGAGTGGAGGACGGATGAGTGGAGGAGGGGAGGGGAGGGGAGGAAGAGAGGAAGGGGAAACAATGCAATTAAAACATAGTCGGGGATGTTCTGCCCAAGTCTCCCAGGCCCAATGGCCTTTTTAAAAACCAAGAAGTCTTGGTGGAGACAGGGGCCTGGGGGCTAGTAGCCTTCTGCGACGAAATCGAAATCTCGGAAAGCCGCCTGCTCCGCAGCAGTGAGGGGCAGCACATCTCGGGGTGGGCTCAGCATGGGGGCCTCGGCGGTGAACTCCACATCGAAGTTGCTGACATCTGTGCGCCCGGACAACCTAGGCACAAAGGGTGGGGCCAGGCGACGGGCCAGCAGGTCGTCCCAGGCGAGGGTCTTGAAGAAGGGTTGTTTCTTCACATCTTCAGCGCCATGCTCGGAAGACCCCAACCTCTGGTCTGGGTTTCTCCGCAGCAGCTTTCTCATGATGCGGGTGGCCTCCACCGACAGGGAGCTGGGGTAGCGAATCTTATCGTGGACGATGCTGTCAAACACTTCTTCTTCTTCATCGCCAGGGAACGGGCACTCTCCGACCAGCATCTCATAGAGCAATACGCCCAGTGCCCACCAGTCCACCGATCTTGTATAAGATGTTTCGGTCAGCACTTCCGGTGCCAGGAACTCGGGGGTTCCGCAGAACGTGCTGGTCCGGTCGCCATGGCCCATCCCTTCCTTGCAGAGGCCGAAATCGGTTATCTTGACGTAGCCTTCGGTGTCGAGGAGCAAATTGTCTAATTTGAGATCGCGGTAGATGATGTTTTGCTCGTGAAGGAACTGGAGCCCCAGCACCACGCAGCCGGAATAGAAGATGGCCCGCGGCTGTGAGAACACATTGCTGTGGATGTGCAGCATGAGGTCTCCGCCGGCCGAGTACTCCATCACGAAGCAGACGTGTTCTGGTGTCTGAAAACAGCCAAAGAGTTTCACCAGGAAGGGATGTCCTGCCTTGGTGACGGCCGCCAAAACCCGCTTCTCACTCATCAGGTTCTTGACTTTGTCTCCGGCGAGGATGTCACCCTTCTTCAGGGCCTTGATGGCATAGAGTTTCCCACTGGCGCGAAATTCAGACAACAGTACCTTGCCAAAGTGACCCCGGCCTAGCACTGCCCAGAACTTGAAGTCGTCAAGCCTCAAGGGCGATTTCTTCTGGGGGCTACATAGGCTAGGGCCTGGGGTCACCTGGCTGGCTGTAGGTAGCTGTAGAGGGGCGATGGGTCTCCGGGTTGGAGAAATCAGGCTACTAGAGGTGGAAGGCAGCCCCGATAGGCTCTTCAGAGATAAGCTATCCGAGTTCGCACGGAGATTCAGTTTCTTCATGGCTGAATCTCCGGAGTACGGTATCTCAGAGCCAGAGATGTGTTGGGTCTGAAGGTAACGCCGGTTGGGTACGTCATTAAGGATGAGTCTCCAGGGCAACCGTACCCAAGTTACGGCATCAACATTCATGGCGCCCTAAAATGTCTTCCCTCGCTGCTTGGGGAAGACATTTTTTTCTGCCTTTGGAGCATAGGCATAGCTCAATGATGGGGTTATAAAACATGACCTCACCACCAGGCAGCCCTGAGGTTCCACGTCCAGTTGCACCTTACCCCTCTCGTTGTCCAAGAAGTCTCCCAACTTCATTCAGTACTAAGGCCCTAATGACTCAGGGCCTTGAGCCCCCTCCTTCCTGACACTCCCTCCTTCCGCAGGCCTTTTCCTCTATCCAGAACCTCCACTCTTTCTACCCCTTTGCTGATGCAAGGGTGATAAACTGCTTCCTGCTGTCCCTGAGGTTTATATGCACATAAGAACATCACAGGATAGGGATGGAGAGATGGCTCAGAAGTTAGGAGCATGGGCTGCTATGCTGGAGGTCCTGAGTTCGATTCCCAGCACCCACACAGTGGCCAACTACCATTTCTAACATCAACTAGTATTCTTTCTTGGTGTGCAGGCACAGCACTGTATACATGAAAATAAATGAATCTTTTTTAAAAAAAAGAATTTAACAGAAAAGAGAACAAAAACCAAACTCAGTGGGTCACGCCTATAATCCCCGGAGGCAGGCGGATCCCTGTGAGTTCAAGGCCAGCCTGGTCTACAACGAGAGTCCAGGATGGCCAAGGCTACACAGAGAAGCCCTGTCTCAAAAAAGAAAAAGAAAAAGACACTAGTGAAGGCATTTAAGAAGAAACTTGCTGGCAATGGTACTGTAATTTACCACTTAGAATATGGAAAAGTAATTCAGCTTTGGGGTGACCAGCACAAGAACAAGACTGGGCTGCTAAGAATAAGCAGCTGACCCCCTGCTCAGAAGTAGCCCATAGGCAGCTCAGTCTCCATGTGGGTCATGGAGTAAGAGGAGCAAAAGTCAGGGGAGTCTGTCATGAACTCCATGGCCTGCTCTTTGATCATTTGCCCCTGGCAATGCAGCCTTACAAAGCCACAGAGGAAGAGGGTCCAGGCAGTCCTGAAGAGACTTGATAAACTAGGGTCAGATGGTCAGGGAGGACAGCTTCCCCTCTCAGCAGACTAGGGGAAGGAGATGGGGGGAGGAGATGAGGGAGGGGGCTCTAATCAGGATATAAAATTAATAAATTGTAAAAACTTTTAAAAATAAAAGTAAAAAAGAACAATTAGCTGAAGATTCATGGGTTTTAAGTGTTTGTGTCTCTGAAGCTAAAGTGAGGATTTCCTTGCAATGAGTAGAATTTCTCTTTCTTTTTTTTAAAAGATGTATTTATTTATTATGTATACAGTATTCTGCCTGCATGCATGCCTGAAGGGCAGATCTCATTCTAGAAGGTTGTGAGCCATCATGGGGTTGCTGGAAATTTAACTCAGGACCTCTGGAAGAGCAACCAGTATTCTTAACCTTTGAGCCATCTCTCCAGCCCTCTCTTCTCTTTCTTGTCACAAGTTTTCAAACCTCACAGCTTGTATAATATAACCATTTGGGGCCCACTTTTAACTTGGACTACTGTAACTCCTTCATGCAATAAACTGAAAAGAGAAAAAAAAAACTTACATACTAAGTGTCAGAGAGAGCCAGTCAGTCCTGTGGTGGTGCAAGCCTGTGAACCCAACACTCAGGGAGGCAGAAGCAGGCAGATCTCTGTGAGTTCCAGGCCAGCCGGGACAATAAAGCAAGTTCAAGACAGCCAAAGCTACACAGAGAAACCCTATCTCAGAAAAAAAAAAAGAAAAGAAAGAAATGATAAGGGGCAGAGAGATGGATGAAGTAGGTTTAGGACAAGTCTTCCATTCCCATCACATAGGTCAGGTAGTTCACAGCCCTTGCAGTTCCAGCTCCAGTATATGTGATGCTTTCTGGCCTCCTGGGCACCCACCGTCTCTTGCACCTACTCCCACACCCCCACAGGAATAGACATGCATAGAATTTGGTTTAAGTCACATATTAAAATATGGAAATTGGGGGGCCGTGCTGGAGAGATGGCGCTGAGGTTAAGAGAACTGGATGCGCTTGCAGAGAACCTGGGTTTGTTTCAACATTCATAAATCCAGTTCCAGGGGATCCACTGCTGGGTTTTTTGTTTGTTTGTTTTTTGTTTTGTTTTGTTTTGATTCGATTTTTGTTTTTTGGTGTTTTGTTTTTTTTTGGCCTACTTAGACAACAGGCACGTATGTAGTAGGCATATGTACATGCAGGCAAAACACTCATAATTTATATTTAGTTGAAAGCAGATTGTAGTGGCACACGCCTTTAATCACACCTCTCAGGAGGCAGAGGCAAGGAGATCTCTGTGAGTTCAAGGCCAACCAAGTCCACATAGTGAGACCAGGAATCAAATAAATAAATAAATAAATAAATAAATAAATAAATAAATAAAGTAAAATATATAAATCTGGGACTGGAGAGATGACTCAAGCAGTCAAGAGCACTTCTTGCTCATGCAGAGGACCCAAGCTGTGATCCCAGAACCCACATCCTGCTGCTCACAGCTGCATCTCACTTAATTCACGGGGGATTCGGTACTTTCTTCTGGCTTCCGAGGGTACTGCAAGCATGTAATAGATGTACAGACAAGGAGGCACACACACATATACAAATAAAAATTAAATGTGTACATTCTCCCCTTTAGCTACTGTGCAGCTACACATGCAAACTAGAGAAGTATTGTTGCTTCCACAACTGAAGTGCCATGAATACCAGCGGCCTCCTTTTCTCAAATAGGGTAGTATTGGAAACAAAACAGCACCATCTTCCTTTGATTAATGACAGCAGCTACATTTGAAAACAATTTGCTGTCTATGGAAAGAACCCTTAGATGATGATGAAGTTTTTCATCTACATGGATAGCCAGTGGAACAATTCTCTCTGGCCTGGGACTGTTTAGCCTGCATTGGCACCACTGTCCAGTAGCCCTCACTAGTGGTTTTGTCACCCCCAAATACACACACTCCCATTGTGCCCCTTTGAAGACCGTTAATTATGCTTAGTGATCCCTATGGCTCCTGTGGTGGTTTCAGTGAAAATGACCCCCACAGGCTCACGTTTGAATACTTGCTCTCATCTGTTTCTGGCATCATGCTTTTGCTCTGTCATCATATACTCAAAACGTCTAAAAGCATTAAGCCCGATTAAATGCTTTATCCTGGTCATGGTATTTTATCACTGCAACAAAAAAAGTAACTACAATGGATCCCTTTCTGCTATGAGAGTTGAGGATTCAGAAGCACGTCAGTGAGATATGTTCTTGGTTCAGATTCCTTTCCATGTAAATCTAGACAAGTAGAAGGCCACTATCCAAAAGCTGTAAATTGGAGAGTTTGCTCAGGTTACCTGTGATGTGACATAGTGAGATTAACTGAAAATCTGCTTCTTGGCTTTGTTTTACTTATGTAGAATATATGTACAGGGTGCTGTCATGGGAATCCCTGCCCCCATGAAAATGTACAGCCGTTTCCTATTTTCCGAAAGCCTTCGCTCCTAGGAATACTTCGTTCAAACTGCTAGGGTGTTTTGTTAATAAGTTATTGTTAGAGTATCAAATGTATAGGAAAAGGGGAGGTGGAGAAATGGCTTTCGTGGTTTAAGGTATGTGCTGTTCTTGCAAAGGAACCAAGTTAGATTTCCAGGGCCCTGGAGGCCCACAGCCTCCTGTAACTGTAGCCCCAGGGGATGTGATGCCCTGTTTTGGCCTCCTTAGGCACTCACACACATGTGCACATAGATCTACATGCACACGTGAATAAATAAAAGTATTTTTAAATGTACAAGTAAATGTACATTTACTTGTATTTACTTCCGACGTATTTACTTGGAAAAGGAATGGTGTTCAGGTAGGCAGCAGCTAAATGAGCCCCCTTTCCCTGCTCTAAATGACTGTTCCATTGAGGAGCAATTTATAGATGTTACTGTCATTTAGCTGTCTTAGTGGTCCACAGCTGCAGAGACACTATGACCACGGCGGCTTTTATGAAAAGCCAGCATTTAACTGGGGGCTTGCCTGCAATTGCAGAGGCTTGGTCTGTTATCAGCACGGTGGGGAGCTTGGCGGCGCACAGGCAGGCATGGTCCTGGAGAAGTAGCTGAGAGTTAGTCTATATTGTGATCTGACGGCAGCAGGGAGAGAACTGGGCTTGGTGTGGGCTTTTGAAACCTCAAAGCCCACCTCCAGGGACACACTTCCTCCAACAAGGCCACACCTCCTAATTCTTCTAATCCTAGCAAAGAATTCTACTCCCTGGTCTATGGGGGCCCCCTAAGCCTATGGCCCCCTAAGCCTATGGGGGCCATTCTTATTCAAACCACCACAGTAAGCTAAAAAAAAAAAAGGGGGGAGAGGGGGTCAGAAATTACTGAAACCAGACTTTCTTTCCTACTCACTTTCCTGCCTTCACAGGCATTTTAGGTTCACAGCCTTTATTTTTATTTGTTTATTTAATTTTATTTGCTGTGCATTAGTGTGAAGGTGTCAGATCCCTTGGAATTGGGGTTACAGACCATTGTAAGCTGCCATGTAGGTGCTGGGAATTGAACCTGGGTCCTTTAAGGAAGAACAGATAGTGCTTCTAACCACTGAGCCATCTCTCCAGCCCCTAACAGCCTTTATTAAAGCAGACATACTATCTGCATCAAGCCCCAGAAACCCTGACCCAGATGGTATGCTGGGAAGGAGGGAGGAGAACAAACCTGGGAGCTTCAGTCATAGAACTAGCCATGAGCTCCCTGTTCTGGGACTTACAAGCTGTGAGGAAGGGCAACTCATCTGAACTCTCAATGCTTTGGGAAAATCACCATGGAGTTGGAATAAAAGCAGTTTATAGGGGCCTGGAAAGATGGCTCAACAGTCAAGAGTTCTCACTAGTCTTCCCAAGGAACCGAGTTTGGTTCCTAGCACTCACACTGATGACTTACAATCACCTGTAACTCCTGTTAAAGGGGATCAAATGCCCTCTTATGAACTCTGCAGGTGCACGCACACACACACACACACACACACTTAGTACACAATCACATGGGAACACACATATACACATCGATAGACACAGAAATGAATAGTTTCAAAAAGCAGTTTCTACCTCCAGGAATGGTTGGGATTCAAGGCATCGCACAGGAAAGGAGTCAAAGCGTGGTCCAGGGTAGCCCTAGGAATACCTCCCTGTGATTGGCTTCC